TCTCCTTCCAGCTTTAATGTTCCAAGTCTTCTTATTTCTGTCACTCATTTGTAACTCCATTCAATTCATTTGTTTTAATGGCTGCATATTATTCCGCTGTATGAATGTATTGTTTATTTAAGTGCTTTTCAAACCTTTTTGTTCACATACTCTAAAATTTTATAAAATTATCTACTTTCTTAAACATTTTTAGGTTATCTGTTATTTTTTCAATCATGAGTTGTTGTAAAGGATATAATTTCTTTCATATTATAAACACTGACAGTCTTAAATAAAACTGTTACATCATTCTTTTAAATCTCTTCAGTGGAACCTGCATACCACAGAAATTTGATAACTAGCATCATCCATTTAAAAAATATATACAAATAAGTTCTTTTACCACTAAGAAATTTTATCTCATTCTTTTTTTGCCTTAAATTTAGATTTCATTCTGCTTCCTCCATAGAATTTATTTCTTGATCACCAAATTTAATTTGGCACATAATGTTATTAGATTTCTGTGACTATTAGGTGTTAAATATTTTCTCTGGATTGAGTTAATGTTATAGTTAAAAATACCATAAATATATTACAAGTTTTGTTCAGTGTTGATTAAACAAAAAAAGTTTTACTGGAAATACATTTCTTTTTTAGACTAGTTCATGTACTTATAAATATTACTTATTGCTAGTAGAATAATACAGTGTTCAAGTATCTATTCTAATTCTATTTTTTCTTTTTATAGATGTAAGTGCTAAGAAACCTTGTTTATATGATTATATAGATGGGAGTGAAAAGACTACTATATATAGCAATGCCACTCGGTTCTTTGGACTCACTCTGAATTATAGGCCAAAAAATCACTTAGTGATCTATCACCAAAAAGTATTTTGAGTATTCTATCACCAACAGCTTGAGTTTGTCCTCCTTTAGTTTTTGTTAAGCAAAGTTAAAAGAATTGAAAACCATGTGACTTAAGAGTACAAAAAAAATCTATTTATTAGTAGTTGTTAGGTTCATTCACTTTCTTGACATATCTTGAGGTTTGTCAGGTAATATAAAATAGTAGATTCAGGGCTGGGGTTGTGGCTCAGTGGTAGAGCGCTTGCCTTGCATGCATGAAGCACTGAATTCGATCCTCAGCACCACATAAAAATAAATGAATAAAATAAATATATTGTGTCCATCTACAACTAAAAAAAATTTTAAAAAATAATAGATTCAGGATGAGAAGAAGGTGTATCTTTCAAGTATAAGGTAGAAGGCAGGGAACCAGACTTAATTAATTATGCAGGCAGGATAATTTTGGAAAGTGAACACTGGAAATTCAAGGGTCAGGAAATTAATTCCTTCAAACTATTTGTATTCACATATTCCTTGGAATGTCTTCATCTACTTCTAAGGGTATGTGTGCCCCAGTTCAGGGATCCCTGACTTGCTTACCAAGCCTCTGTTGATGACTTAAGTGTATCTTACAGGTTTTCTGTAATACTGCTTAAGGGCATTGACATTTTGGTACCTTGTAATATTGCCCCTTTTACTTATTTATACTCTTACCAGCAGTACATGAAAGGATCTACTTACCTACATCCTAGCCAACACTACACATTCTGTCTTTATTATCAGGTATCAACTTAATAGCAGAAAGTAATCCATATTATTTGCTTTTCTTGGATTATTAATGGTGTGAGCGTCTTTTTTATGTGTCCATTGGCCATTTGTATTTCTTCCCTCAATTTTCCTATTTCTATACTTTGCCAGTGTTTCTGTTAGGAGATGGTGATTTTTCTTATTGATTTGTAAAAGCTTGTGATCTAGTGAAGCTATTTACTATCATTCATTTTGCTTGTATTTATGTCTGTTAGCTCTTTATGCTGGTTTTTGCATCATAGAACTTTTAGATGGTCATGAATTTGTCAAGTTTGTCCCATATGGTTTCTTTTTTTCATTATTAGTTCTTTTTAGATACACATGATAATAGAGTGTATTTTGACATATTATACATACATGAAGTACAACTTATTTCTAATTAGGATCTCCTTTTCATGGATATACATGATGTGGAATTTCACTGTGCTATATTCATATATGAACATAGAGAAGTTTTGTCCAATTCATTCCACTGTCTTCCTTTTCCTATCCCCCTCTCTTCCCTTCATTCCCTTTGTCTAATCCAGTGAACTTCTATTCTTTCCCATAGGTTTCTAGATTTCACATCATGCTCATAAAAATTATTTTGTTTCCTTTAGGTAGTTTTATGGTTAATTTTTAATGCAGAAATATTTAATTCATTTAGAATTTATTGATATTATAAAATGTGAAGTTGGATCTGTTTTTTCCTCACTGAATTTAGTCAGTTTTTCTAACCCTATTTATTGTAGAATTTGTCTTTTCCCTACTGATTGAAAAATGCTACCTTTGCTATATTCTAGATTCTTACATATTCCTGGCCTCTTTTTTGGAAGCTTTGAAGCTGTCTTACATCCTTGCCTCCTGCAATTTGCCTGTTTAGTCTCTTTACCACTAGCACACTTATTGTCCTGGAACATAGATTGTATCGTATTCTCTTACAGAAACTCTCTCCAAGTGTCCTATTGACTACAAAAAAAAGAGACCAAACTTGTTAGCTAGGTCTGTCTAGTCCTAGCCACATTTTCCCATGGCCCTCTGCTTTTTAGAGCATAGCCTGTGTTTTTCTGTATTTGTACCTTTGTTCCTACAGTTCTCTTGGCTAGAAATAGCTTCCTGATCCCTATTCTTTTTTGTAACCAAGCTGTACTTTCCTTTTAAGGCCCACTATAAAGCCTTACCAAAGCCCCCTCTTTAACTTTTGTTTCATTTGATTTCTAATTATTATGGTTTACCTTCCTACTTCCACAAATATAGTATCAACTTCTTAGAGTCGAAGGGGTCTCATTAGTCTTTCCTCTTTTTCTGTTGCCTTTCATCTGATCAGTCTTTAGAAAATGCTTGTTGAATGGAATTGAATTTTATCATATATACACACACTCATATAAAGTCTGGAGGAAATCAGGTGCAGATTTTAAAAAGATTCCTCTCCCAGTGGAGTCATACAGGACTTGCTTAATTACCCCAGCAACAAGTTGTTACAACATATGTGAAATGTTGCCAGCCTGGAAAGCTCTCTAGATTCAGTACCCAGGGCTTTTGCTAGGTGCTGATCATTTAAGCACCCGCTTCAGGTACACACACTAGTCTCCCAGAAGGAAAGTAGATATTCAAGAGAAACCATATTATTTACACAAATAATTTTAGCATGCACCAGTTAATGGTAGGAATGAACGCTCCTGAAATTTAAGTTCTCACATGCCCGTCAAGGGCCAGCCTTACAAGCAGGACTTTCCAAGGATAGTAGTCAGGCCTGCTGTGTTTAACTCTTTCTGGATACTATATTTTTGAGGGCTTAATTTCACAGATGGTAGATGCCTAACAGGAGAAAAGGATCAGTATAATAGGAATAGTCAGGGCATGTAAGTACTATTATTTGATACTGTCTTCATAGAGGAGGTAGGTTATAAGATAAGGCATGGAGAAGAGCTGGACATAGAAAGAGCTAATACCATATTTGGCAGTAGGTTGTAGGATTAAAGTAAAATGGGATTGTATAAATTAGGGAGAACCTCCAAAGCTGTGTATATTCAGGATTATTATTAGAATTATTATTATTAGAAGGATGTTCACTTGGTTAGCAGTTGATAGGTTTCTGTGAAAGAAAGATGAGATGCAGAAGGACCAGCAGAGGAACATTTGCAGTGACCCAGGTGTCAATTTATGAAGACCTAGCTGAGAGGGAGCTCATATATCTAGTTCAGCATTCTACTTTCAAATCATTGGAAGTGCAGGGGATTAACTTGAGAGACAGTATGAAAGAAGCTATGTCCAGTGTGAATGCAGTTCAAAACAATTGCACATTTTTATGAAAAAAAATTTCAGTTGAATTTTCTTTTGAATTATTGTAGTTAGAATTTCCTTTTAAAGTTGTTAGTAGATAACATTTTATTTAAAGATAAATTTATAATTTTTATATTGTACAAGTAAGAATATGATCGAGCCTACCTCTGTTTAAAGGAATGATGTTGAACAAAATATATTTGCATGTATTTTGAACATTTCATTAACCAAAATAGAAGAATAAGAATTTTCTATCAACACTGTTTTTGTTTGGAATTGAACATTTCCATACTAATACAAATGCCAATAAATAAATCAACTTTTAAATTTCTTTCAGTTTTAATATTGTAAGATCCTAGTAAAAGGTAAGGATACATGTATTAATGAATTTTTATTCTTTAATGTCCCTGAAAAACATGTCATTCTACCATTTTTGTTTTTATTAGTTGCATGGTCTTATGTCAAGTTTGTAGTTGGTAATTTAATATTGTGTATAGTATCACAGTATGAAATCCACATTCATTACCCTTTAATCATAGTCTTACTATTCTTGTGAATTCTTTTCCCATATTTATTGAAACCTTATGAATTTACATTGTAGGTAACCATCTGAAAGCAAGAAAGCTTTTTGCCCTTTAATAGCTTTCTCTGCAGTGATCAGTCATTAGAAAAGCCCATATAATTGTAGAATTAGAAATATCATATAATGGGAAGGACAAAATAGTAGTTTGAAGTTGTACTTGTGTCACATCAGGCTCTGTATTGGAGAGACAAAGGTTTAAGTGTCTCAAGTTTATGCCAGGGATGCCCTCCCTCCCCAAAACTCACCCAACTAGCAGAATGTTGTTTTCATCAATTTACTAATACCAGTGTTATCTAGTGTCATGTTTTTTGTCGTACTGACTTATCATTTGATATCTGCTTTGATGTGTTCTCTTATTACTTTGTGTGTTTGGGGTTCTACATAACTTTTGTGGGGATCTCAAGGTGCAAATAGTACTATATAAGTTAAACTGTCAAAAATTGAGATGCAAACTCTAGCTCAGATACTATAACTGATTGTTTCTTCTTTTGAAGTTTCTATTTCTCTTGTTTTCTCTTGGTAGGAATATACAAACATTGCTACAGAAACCTAATCTGGAATTGTTACAAATGGAAGCAACCCTTCAGGAGGATATTTGGGAACATCTGTTTTTGTCCGGAATTAGAATTGGCACTAAGGCACTAATACTGTAACTTTCTTGATAAAATAACTTTATTTTTCAGTAGTGGAATGCTGCAACTTTTTTACACTTTAAATTGCTTTTAAATTACAGTATTCAGTTTAAAAGTTGCATTAACTACAGTTTCTTTTGCAAAAAGTCTCAATAGAAATACTTGAAGGGCATTATTTGTTGATGCATTTTTCTCTAAGCATGGTTTCGAGAGAACTTATATCCAGACATTTATATGTTGAAAGCTTTGTTTATGTAAAACAAAAGTATCTGAATTGTATAGTGTCTGTACATGAAAGAACTTTAACAGTGGCCTTACAGTAGCTAATTTTATACTGGGTTTTTCTTTTTCTGATGACATTTTGGCTTATAACTTGAAGTTTTCTTAAGTTTCTGATGATTAAGGCCTATATAATTCATACATTTCATATTATGATATCAGAAGGCTAGAGAAAAGGTGCTTCAAATTTTCCATCAGGTAGTTGTGAGTGCACTGAATTTTTAGTAATTTGTTCATTCAGTTGTTTCCACAACTATTTGCTCTTTTCCAATTTCAAAATGCTATTGTGGAAAATGTAAAGATTTTGTAATCTATATTCCATCTTATTTTTCCCTCAGGGCAAGCTTGTGCATATCATATTTTTAAAGGCTTTTAAAAATGTGACAAGACAAAATCTCATATTTGAAAATTGTACTTTACTACTACAGCATTACATGTTTTGCAAGCACATCTTATAGAGTGTTTATTTTCAGTTCAGTTGATATGTATAGTGTGCCTACTATATGTAAGATAGAATCGATGGGATTTTAAGTGAAATTTTTAGGTCCCAGTATCTGATTTCTTTATGTTTTCTATGTTCTGCTTAACAATACATATACATTCCCAACTAAATTTTTGTGAAATGTTTATTTGTAATAAAGCAAAATATTGTTGCTCTTTCTGCTTGAAGAAGTTACTCAACAATTTGTGTGAATGTTATTTTAATTTTCATTGAGACATACAGCCTTGGGTAGGACCTGTTGATCTTTAATGTTGCTCAGCACTTGTGAAGACAGAGCTTTCTAAATCAAAATATGAAGGGTGGTAAGAACTTGGTATTTCATAACAGGATTATGAAAAATCTTACTACAAACATTTAGGTCTTTGCATATCTTGAAAAGATGGGACAGTCTTTGCTTTACACGAATCATTTGATAAAGGGATAGGGCAAGAGCACTTGATTCATTGCTAACTGGATAATAAATTTAGGCAGATGGCCTTCTCTATAGGTCAGGTTTTCAAAAAATATTTAACATTCTGCTTATGGTAAAAAAGAAGGGAATGCAAATAGTATGACAACTTTGTATTATATGAGTACTTATAAAATCTGTCAAAATTTTTTTAAATTTTTTTTAGCTGTAGTTGGACACAATACCTTTATTTTATTTATTTATTTTTATGTGGTGCTGAAGATCAAACCCGAGGCTGCACATGTGCTACACGAGTAGTCTACTGCTGAGCCACAACCCCAGGCCGCCGCACCCCTCCCTTCAAATTTTAAAATAATTTATTTCAGGGGCTAGGATTGTGGCTCAGCGGTAGAGCACTTGTCTAGCATGTATGAGGCACTGGATTTGATCCCCAGCACCACATAAAAAAATAAATAAAGATATTGTGTCCATCTACAACTAAAAAAAATATTAAAAAAGAATTGATTTCATTTGTTTCCATATCTAGAGGACAGTTATGGGCTTTGAATGAATATTTAATTATTTGGTTGATAACTATGTATTTCATAGATAGTGTGCTTAAATTAAGGCAATAAAGAAGACACATGGACCCTGCCTTTATAGTACAGACAGTCTAATTGGGAAAATGGACATTAGATATAGAAATTAAACTTGTTAAACAACATCAGTTCTATAGCCCTATTTTTATTTATTGTAGCAAGGGTAAGATGGTTGATTTAATTTACTCATTCCACAACTGATTCGCTATTTAGGCCTATTTGAATATACTTTTGTCACTGTCTCAAAATGCAAAGCATGTTAACTGCAAAATACCTATTCGAAAAACATTGCATGGGGCTGGGGATGTGGCTCAAGCAGTAGCACGCTCGCCTAGCATGCGTGTGGCCCAGGTTCAATCCTTAGCACCACATACAAACAAAGATGTTGTGTCCGCCAAAAAACTAAAAATAAATATTTAAAAAATTGCATGTATAAGATATAAAGCCTAAATAGGAAAACTTGCTTTATAATTTAGTATATAAAATAAGAACAAGGAGGATGTGGTTGTGGCTCAGTGGTAGAGTGCTTGTTGCTCACGTGTGAGGCACTGGGTTCAGTCCTCAGTACCATATTAAAAAAAAATAGAATAAAAGTATTGTGTCCATCTACAACAAAAAAAATTACCAAAAAAAAGAACAAGGGACCATATTAATCTTATTCACCATAATGTCACCAGTGTCCAACATCCTACTTGACACTTAGCAGGAACTCACTAAATGTAAATGTTAATTGAATGATGAATGAATAGTTAGTAGGATATGTTTATTAGGATCTTCATATATAATTTTCATATGGAAGTTAAATAGGTTGTCTGTAGCTTTTGGGATGGGGATTGAACTCAGGAGCACTCGACCCCTGAGCCACATCCCCAGCCCTATTTTGTAATTTTGTACTTTATTTAGAGAGAGGGTCTCACTGAATTGCTTAGCACCTCGATTTTGCTAAGGCTGGCTTTGAACTTGCAATCCTCCTGTCTCAGCCTCCTGAACCGCTGGGATTACAGGCGTGCGCCACCGTGCCCAGCAGCATTTTTAATTGACTAGAAAGAATCTGAATTCTTTTTTTTTAAGTTTTTTTCTTTGTTTTCAATAGTTTTATTATTTATTTATTTATTTTTAGAGAGAGAGAGAATTTCAATATTTATTTATTTTTTTTTCAGTTTTCAGCAGACACAACATCTTTGTTTGTATGTGGTGCTGAGGATCGAACCCGGGCCGCACGCATGCCAGGCGAGCGCGCTACCGCTTGAGCCACATCCCCGGCCCCGAATCTGAATTCTTGAATGAATAAGATTTGAGAAGTTTTTTGAAGCATCCTATACCATTACTTCCTCCACTTCCCCCCTGCATTCTAGGCCCTTCACTGGCACTAAGAACACAGTAAGACACAATCTCTGCTCTGAGGAACCTCACAAACTATCCAGGAAGAGATTGACAAAGAATTGGAACATAATAGTGTTAAATATTATAATAGACATAAATGCAAAAGATTGAAACTTTGACATTCCTAGTTGAGCATCCCCTCTTTGAAATTCTTCACTAACCTTAGAAGGTACTATTCTGTTGGTGATTTTGCCGGTTTTAAAAATTGACCTATTGAAAGAAACTGGGTACATGGAATCTTTGTATATTATTTCTCATAGTTGCATGTGAATCTATGGTTATCTCAATACATGATTAAATTTTAAAACTACTCATGGTTGTATCACAGAGAAGATTATCATGAATATTTTGGAGGATACATTTTCTTTTTTTTTTTGTAATGTAAATATAGTTTTTTCCCCAACAATTTAAGTAGATGTATAAAGGTACCACATTTTACCTAATGGATCTAAATCAGTTTTTGTGGGGGGTTTTTTGCTTTTTTTTTAATTTTAATATTTATTTTTTTTAGTTTTCGGCGGACACAACATCTTTGTTTGTATGTGGTGCTGAGGATCGAACCCCACTTGAGCCACATCCTCAGCCCCGCTTGTTTTTTTTTTTTTTTTAAGGGTTTTGTTGTTGTTGTTTATGGTTCTCGGGTGCAAACATCGAGAGTTGTGCATACTAGGCAAATGCTTAACCACTGAACTACATTTCCAGCCCTTGGATCTTTTTTTTTTTTTTCTTAAATGGATGGGTTACTTTTAGGCAGAATCAGGAAAATTAAGGTGGGTTAGAAAGTCTTTCCTTTTCCATCACCTAGCAAATTCAGTAACCACCAAATAAGGAAAGGAGAAGATGCTCATGGCAATAAGGTATAGTATGACTTTGAACCCTTCTGCATGGCACTGAGTAAAGAAACAGTGTTGACAAAATCTTGGTAATAATGGACCCCCAAATATGAACAAAGGAACTAATGGGGTGACCAGGACACATGGAGGAGAATCAAGGAGAACCTTTGAGATACCAAAGTCTTTGCTACCATCCCAGCATTTCACCAGGACTAGATGTTTCCCAGATGCCAGAGCAGCCCGGGGAAGCCACTGAAGGAATAAGGTATATCTTTGGGTCCAGTGAGCCCTGGTTTTGGAAATTTAATGAGAATTCAGAAGAGAAAGGATACCAGATTTCCCCACAAAGTTCCAGCCAAAGGAATGTTTATGATCTTTGAGTCCATTAAACTACAGAATTAAGATGTTTAAACAAGAATCATAGTGGTAGAATAGCATATAAGTGTTAGAAATCTTGACAAAACTTAAAACACATTGACAGATTGGGACATGGGGGAAGGAAAGTGGGATAAAGAGTAGGTACTACTACTGTATTCTCTTTCATGGAGATGGTTCATAACATCTTTAAGATTATAGGGATAAAAACCCTAATGACCACCGTAACTTTTTCATAGTCTTTTATTTTTCCTTGATCTTAGCACAGTTCTCAAAGTGTGGTGTCAAACCGGGAACATCAGCATATCCTGGGAACTTGTTAGAAACATAGATTCTTGGCCCTACTCCAAACCTCCTGAATCAGAAACCCTGAGGTGGGCGCCCAACAACCAGTGATTCAATAAACCCTTCAGGGGATTCTGTTGTATACCCAAGTTTAATAACTACTGCCTTACTTACTCTTTGAAGAACCAGTAGATGTATGATGAAGAAATATTTATGAAATGTAGCAACCCCTTTTGTTTCATTTCTAATTATTTTCTATTATATTCAAATAAAATCAAATTTAAAACTTTAAAATAAAAAAATATAGCAGTTGCATCAATCCTGTCCATACATATGAATGAATACTGTTCTGGAAGTTTACCAACCCACTGTTAAACTGTTATTTAAGTAATAGGATTGTGAGTAATGGTGCTTTTCTGCCAGATATAATGAACACTGTATCATTTTCATAAAGTTTATTCTTTTGTTTAAAAGTATGACACTTCATCCTGACCATTTGATATCTGTCACTAAAGTTCATGTGAGCAAGCTTTAACTCTGTAAACTACCTACTTCACTATAGTCCAGTGGAGTTTTACTCTCTACCCTTCCTCCTCTCACATCATAAAAAGGCAGGTAGGCTTATTTAAGTATGCATTGTGTTGACTTTTTAATAAAAATTATTGGTTTGCAATACTTAACATAATCATATAAAATTTAAATTCATCTTACTATTGTTTTTTTAATATTTATTTTTTAGTTGTAGTTGGACACAATACCTTTATTTTATTTATTTATTTGTGGTGCTGAGGATTGAACCCAGGGCCTCGCGCACGCTAGGCAAGTGCTCTACCGTTGAGCCACAACCTCAGCCCTTACTGCTGTTTTTTAAAAAGAAAAACAAAATGTCTTAACCTGATAAGAAAAAGTTATTCAAGACTGCAGCTGCAAAATGGAGTTACTTTTGAGGTTCTTACATGTCACCACACCAACGCCTAAGTTGTTTTGTTCTAAGAAATAAGAAAAGAGATGATAGCAAAATCCTATTAAGTCCACAAGATTTCACTTACATCCCTATAAGGAAAGTTAACTTTGAAATGACTAAGTCATCTTATATTTGTTCTTTGTCCCTACTTCCTCCACTTCTTTTTTTTAATGTTTTTAGTTGTAGATGGACACAATACCTTTATTTATTTATCTTTATGTGGTACTGAGGATCAAACCCAGGGCCTCACACATGCTAAGGGAGCACTCCACAACCCCAGCCCTCCTCCACTTCTTTATACCTATAAAAATCATTTACTCTGTTTAGC